CCATAGGAGACCTGGGGGCCCAGCCTGGTGGGGGCCCCGCCGAAGCCCCACGTGGGGCGATGGTGGTTTATGGGTCGAAGGCGAGTCTCGTTGATATTTCCCCGCCAAAATAATCGACCTTCTGCAGTTTCTTCATTGTATACTACTTCTATAGATGCCCCGCGCTGGGGCAGGGGCACCTGGCCGCCCTGAGTGCGCCCTGTGATGCGGTCGTAGACCGCTTTTCGGAGTCCAGGGCACATATGAGGTCTTCACAGAGGGGAAATGGTTCAAGACAACATATTTGCCCTCCTAACAAGGGGGGCTTCCCTCCACAAGTGCCACGCTTCCCTCGATTCTCCCTTGCTGCAAAAACGCCAACACCGGGAACAGCAGCTGCAGCAGGCTCAGCAGCAAGAGGGATCCCTTGCAGAAGATGGCAGAACGAGGGGACGAGAAGCCTCTGAGAAGCAGTATTCTGCTGAGAGCCTCCGTGCTCGGCACTCTATTGCTGTGAAGGGCCTACCTGTTGTGCCTGCTCCCTTCCTTTCTTTTAGTGACGAGATTCCTCTTGAAACGGGGGCAGCAGAAGCTAAAAAGATCCTCTTAGAAGGAGATCAACAGTCCCAAGAAGGGCCTAGGAAGCTCCCTGCATGGCTCATCTCCCGCCTGCAGACACTCGGCTACAAGCAGCCGACCCCCATTCAGATGCAGGTCAGTCCTCCACATCGTGCCCATGCCACAGCTAGAGCTGCCAACCTGGGATCACATTGCATCCCTTATCCCGTGGAATACCATTTTCCTCGCACTAAGAGTTGCCGCTGGAGCAAACGTGATGATCTCTGCCGTCAGTTGCCTAGAAATTGCCATGCGTATGCAGATGTGTGTAGTACGTAGCAGTCTGTGAAGCAGAAGAAACTGACGCACCACCAGCTGCAGCTAGAATGTACCTATCTTATATGCATGCACCGCAGGCACTGCCGCTGATGTTGAAAGGACACCACATGTTGGCTTCGGCCCCGACCGGTAGCGGCAAAACCCTCGCCTTTCTGCTTCCTCTCATTGCCTGTCTAAAGGTTTGTTGATATTCATTCTTGTTTCTCATCCCCGTGTTTTCAGACGCCCTCTTGCGAATTGTTGTCGTTGTTTACGTCGCTTCTTCGTGCTCTTATCTGCTGATGTTTAGGGAATAGTGTGTAGCTCTTTATTGCCCTCTGACTGTTGTTGAATTCTTCTCAGAACAGCGCTGCCCCGCCCCAGCGCTGCTAAGCAGCTCTATGCTGCGTTCTTGTAGAGCTTCGCGGTGTGCATTTTTTCTATACAGCGTCTACTCTTAGACTGCGCTGCAGCACAACGGGAACAAAATGCCCCACACGCATGCATTCTCTTGCTTATTCTTCAGGCACCCAGCAATGCCTTCGGCCGGTTGGTTGTCTTGTCGCCTACTCGAGAGCTGGCAAGACAGAGCCTTAGGACCTTCCAAAAGCTTACAGGTATGTTTCACCCTTCTACGTTTGCAATGCAGCGACAGCTACAACAAGACCTGCATCGTTGGCGCATAGGCCGAGTTGCACCATCTTTTTTGATAGTGGAGCCCGTCCGGTCTATTGGAGACGGGGGAATAGTGGCAGTCTGCATTTCGGCCTTTTTATTTGCGCACAAGTATAGGTGCATTGCGGATGTATGCCCTTGAGGAAGCCTATGGTTAAGCGCATGCATTCATCTTTTGTACAGCTTTTTGCGGTTTGGGTGCGATGCAGATGGCACAGGTTTCAAAGCTGCGTTCCCTCAGTCGCATCCGGGAACCCGATACGGCGCGGCAGATGCTGTCTTTGCAACTCCGTTGTCCCTGTTAACGTTGCTAAGGGAGAAGAGGGTGAGCTTTACCACTGCTAACAAGGTCCTGGGGAGCAGGAATCTGATGCCCCCAAGTACAGCAGCAACTGAGACACCAACGAAAATCACAAACGCTTATTGTTAGAGTCTCCACAGCGCCTCAGCACTGCTCTG